TAAAATTAGCTAGACAGATTTTGACAACTAGTTCAACATTTTTGTATGTAATGACTCAAGTAATGAAATGAGGGCTATTAGTTTTATATGGAATGACTATATAGTATTCACAAGTTTAGTTAATTTTGACTGCCATTACATAAGCAAATGATAATGTTATAAACAGCAGAGAGTTGTATGAAAACAATTGATGCATGTCCAAAAGCATCTGCAATATGTTAGAAGGAATGAGAAACTGCTACTAAGATATGCACAAATGACTAATTGTTTTGAGAAATGCATTAACTGTTGTGCAAATGTAAATAGTGTTGTGAGAAATGCACCAAAGCCTGGGAAAAACTGTAATATAAAGTGAAAACAGTTTAACAAATCATTTAAGTAGGACTTCAGTTCACACTGTACAATTGCACTCAGGGATTAACTTTCATTCCATACAAAAGATTCTCTTAAATCAACACATTTCATTCAACAAATCAATAAGCTCCTGTGCTACTTATAGTTGCTTCACTGCTAAATTTGCAACTTTACAAAAATTAAACTAGTATTGACATTGGGTTGGAAGCTAACCCAGCTAACATTATGTCAATGCAGTTCAGAGTTAAGCTGCATTATTCACTTTAAGCAGCTCAGTTTGAGTAGGTCAAACAAAACATGCACCAATCAAATCCACAACCACCCCAGCATGTATGTTCTGAGGCCTGCGAAAGACACTTCATAATACAGTCGGGCCACTGACAGAACTAGCAAGAGAGTAATTGAGTGGGAGCCGGAGAATTAGAAGCATGACTTTAGCACATGCCAACCCGTGAGCTCAAGCTCATCCTTTTGAGGCCTGCTGGTGGGTGAAAGCAAATGGATTCGGAAAGCTTGTTCTCCAGTGGGTGCTAATGTATGGACTAGGGCACTATTAAAAGCCACTACTGTGTGATATGCCTGTGCATTTAATTATTTATCTATTCATGTATTCCTCCTCTTTTTAAGGGCTTTTTGTCAGTTCTTGTGTCTAAGCCAGAAGCACAGGCTAGAGGAGGAGTGGGGCTCAAGAGAATAAGATCACAATAAGAGCAATTCTCTGTTTGATCTTTAGCAGAATAGACCTGACTCAAATACACCCCATCTACTAAATCCCATCCTCAACAACATTTCTAGGCCACGAGTCTCTGAAAGGTCTAACTGATCCAGTACATTCTATGTATACTTTTGGTGCAAAAAAAAAAATATCAATAGCACAACTGCATTTTGGCAACAGAGTGATGAAGGTTTACTTTTAGGCAAAAAGCATTGCTAGTTTTATCATTCCGAAGTAAAGCATTTTTATGTCTAAATAGGGTCTGTGGTAAAAGCTTGGGAAATTGTTTTAAAGAGGCTAGCATTAGCAAGCTAGCTTTGAATGAATAATATTTCATTGACTGATCAGAAGTCCACTCTTCCTCAAGAAAGCCACTCTTCCTCAATAAACATACACTGTCAGAGCAGAATCTATAAAATGCCATGACAAAAACCTTGAATTGGTGGATATTGGATGACAACTACAGGTTTTTAATAGGAAGTAGCTGGTGTTAGCATTTAGCTAGTTTTTAAAGATAACACCAGCTACATGAGCTAAATACTCAATTTCATTAACAAAATACTTAGAAAATAAATCACACCATGTATTTACTTCTACAAAAGCAAAACTACAACATTGAGTCTTTTTTCAGACCTTAAATTCAATATGGAAAAGCAACACCCATGTTAATCATACTTTTAGTTGTTATTTAATTGTTCATTCATTCATTCATTCATTCATTCATTCATTCGTTTTCTTTTTGGCTTAGTCCATTTGTTATTTTATTGTTACAAAAATAAAAAAGACCTTGTCAATTACTCTCATTAAAATCTTTATGAGTATATTTCTTCTGTTTAACACAAAATAAGGTATTTTGAAGAATCCTGGTTGCTGCGACCGTACAATTCCATAGTAGGAAAAAATACTATGAAATTCAACGAGTCTTACACTGTAAAACCCAACAGTCAACTTTATCAAATGAAATGAGTGTAGTTAACTCAAAATTTACTGAATGTTAATTGTACTCATTCGAAAAGAGTTTAGAAGTTAGTGCTGGAGGTAATGAGTTAATTAAATATGGAATAAGTTCACAGTACTCCTTAGGATTTTTTTTTTTTAACTCAAATGGTTTGTAACAATTTGTTTCCTCAAACGGTTTGACCTGTCTTAACTTATTGGGTTTTGCAGTAATCAGTTGGTTTGAGTTCTCTTCATTTATTGGGTTTTACTGTGCTCAAATTGCTTCGTTTACTCAAATGAAGTAAGTTAACAGTACTCATTAGGATTAGATTTTGAACTTAAATGGTTTGTTGCAATCAGTTTCCTCAAATGATTTGAGTTACCTAAACTTTTTGGGTTTTACAGTGTAGCAACCACCATTTTTCAAAATATTATCTTTTGTGTTAAAATAAGAAATAAACAAATAGGTTTTGAACAAGTGAAGACTGAATAAATTATAATCAGAGCAGGCACACAACATCATAAGACGTTAATATTAGGTTAGATTTAGGTCGTAACGTCAAGTGACCAAAATTCAATGTCTAACCAGCCTCTAAGGATGATGTCAAATGATGTTGATATTTGGTTGATTTTAGGTTGTGTTGGAAAGTGACCAAAATCTAAAGTCGAGCCAACATCTTAAAAACACAACATATTAATGCTGACATTTGTTTGTCAGGTATGGCAACCAAGATCCAATGCCTGATAGACGCCATAGTGGTAACGTCCACACAACGTCAAGCTGTAATATTATTAGATGTTGATATTTGGTTGATTTTAGGTTGGACATTGGACATTGACATCTGGCAGATGTTGGGTTCTCGTCTTAAAAAGCATTTGTTCTGTTAAAAAACATTGTACTGTTTATATAAAGACATCATCAACATCTTTAAAGTGTTTCTTTGTCAAGCATTCAAAACTATAAACTTTTTCTAAATGACATATTCTAAAAATCTATTAAACATCTGATAGATGTCTTGCAGCTATTGCGCAGACAAGCATGTAAATACTAAATGCACATCAAATAGACGTCTTTGCAATGTAATCAACAATGATCATCTGACAATGCACAGATTAAATAACATGATTTCCAATGCAGTGCATAAACCAGCACAAATTAGTTTGCAAACAAGCAAGGCCAATGATGATAAGATACGAACAATTGACTTACAACACAAGAAATACGCACAGGTTTGAACCAGCACAAGCTGTTAATAAAGCTTTCTCTAAACATCTTTACTCTTCAAAGGCAAACTTGTCTACTTACTAGTCCTTTACCACAACACAAAAACACAGTGGTGTTTATAATCTTGCTCTCGAACAACAATTCAAACTCAACAGTTTCAGGAAACTGTTTGACAGATTTGTCGGAAACTTAATGACAATACAGCTGAAGAAGTCATACAAAGATGTAGATGTTTAATAGCCTAGATTTAGCTTTACTTCGATTTAAAATATTTAGGCTTCAAAATTAAAATTTTGTGCCAATGGAAAATTCCAACTGGGTTTTTATCATGGGAACCAGAGTTGTGCTAACTTATAGATTGGCCCACAAACAGATATCTTCACTGCAGCACTGTACTGAGGCAAGTCCTTGGTCAGGCTGATGATGACATCACATATGTGACCACATCCAGTGACTACACACGGAAGCAGATGTGCTTTGGCCAACTTGCCCTATAATCCTAAGCCTTTCTGATCCACTGACCCCTCCAGAGACCAGAGAGAGCGAGTGTGATTCTCTATCTGTTTATATGAAGCATGCACATCACAATTCTCCTATTCTTCGCCAGCTAGAACCAGGGCAATACTGGTGTGCATAAATAATTGAATGTAGCATAAATATTACTCCGTCAGCACTCTAAAGCACCACCACAGGTACCAAGATTTGTTTTCTTGTTTTTGCAGGAAAATATAATGAGACTAAAAGAAAGGATTTACAACAGTGCCACTCTCAGCAGCTTCAATGTGACACCAATGAACAGGTATAATAAGAGAGAAGATTGAAAACACATACAGTAATGCAACCATTTGATGATAAGATGCATAAAGTAAAGAAGTAAAGGAATTTAGTAAAGCAGCCTTTTAAAGTATTAAAGGATTATGTAAAAAATGCCATGGACAATATGTTTGTCTCATTTTTTAGCCACACCGCTTCTATAAAATACCCAACAGCTGCAATAAAATTCCAGCACAGAGCACCTGCTTGAGGTAAAACTTGACCTTTTATTCACTATCATGTAGGGCTCCTGGATTTTAAGGGTTTTATCTCTCATTGACTGACATATAGAAACAGCAGTCATATAAGGTCAAATAACTAGCAAAACTGGACAAGAGTGCTACAGGGTTTAGCATTTACTCAAATAGACATCTTTGCGATGTAAACAATAGTGTCATCTGACAATGCACAGATTAAATAACATGATTTACAATGCAGTGCAAAAACCAAAGTTAGTTTGCAAACAAACAGAACCAACGATAATAAGATGTGTTTAATTAACTAACAACACAGAAATCACACACAGGTTTAAACCAAGCACAAGCTGTTAATAAAACTTTCTCTAAACATCTTTACTCTGAAAAGGCACACTTTTTGATTTTGAGACTGTCTTGTCTCACATTTATAGAAACAGCAGTCATATCAGTCAAATAACTAACAAAACTATACAAAAGTGCTACAACAAAAAAGCATTCACTTACATCTGATTGTCTATTAACTTTATGTAATTAAACCTTATAGACCCTTTCAATGTGGTCATGTTTTTGGCCCATGAACATTTCCTGCTTGTTATCAAACTATTTCATAACTGTAACAAGAAGCAATTCTATCATAACTTCAAAAATATATAGTTAATTCTCGGAAGCTATAAAAATTAAAAATGTAAAACAGGAAATACATTGGGATCATTGTTTTTTGTTTACATCTCTCAAAATGGTCTATAGAGATGTTTACCTGATGTCGTTCTGCTGAGGTGGTTTCTTGTTCCCAACCAGGTTCACTGTTTTTGCTTGTATGGGCTTCTCCTCTCTGTACAAACACATTTTAGACAGTCAGTTAATCTCACAGATGTGTAGCCCTTTTAAAGTAACTTTTACCAGCATACCAAAAATAGCTATTTCACCCAAGAATGGAAATTAATTCTGCAGAGCACAAAAGAAAATTATAAAGCCAAAATAAAAACATTTATCAAAGTATTTTACATTTGAGATCAAAAAGGAAAGTTACAGGTTTGAGTAAATAATCATTTTAGGGTAAACTATCGCCTTAAAGCTAGCACACAAGGTATTGTTATTTTTCTGAAAGCCTCAAAAGTGTTGTGAGGTCGACCTCTAGCTTTTGCTTCAAGACAGTAGTTTCTTTTAAGAGCGGGAAGCTATTTGTATCCAAATCTCACACATACTGTACAGCAAATAAAAACAGTGCTTTACAGTGCTCAGCATGAGTTCGACCCATTTTGAAAGTGAATATTTTTATCCTTTTCTTAGCGTATATTGGTTATATATTTTGGTGAATTTGAACAAAACAGATTTATTAAAGATATATATTTATTAAAATAATATTTTAGTCACCAAACATATTTAGAAATTGAAAGATAATAAATTTAAATGCATGTGAAATATTGCAAAAAATAATAAAACTACAAAATTTTTGACTTGATTTTTTTTAGGTAATATTTTTCCCTAACATATAAACTTGGGCTACTTATTTAGGCTAGTTATTTTTATAGATTAGCTCCAGATTTTGCTTCAATACTAACTAATCGAATGTATATACACAAATATAATATTGTACATCATCCAATAGAAAATATTAATTTAATAGAGAGATTTGTAAGGGGTGTACTCAAATATGCTGAGCCCTGTATGTAGAGGTCTTTACATACTGTGTGACCGAAGGGGTAAACTTACTCAAAACAATGCTATTGATCTATCTAGCGGATTTTAGTGACAAATGCTGAGAAATTAAATAACAGCATGCTTTTTTCCTATGAGAAACATAGGACAAGAAGTGGTTAAGTTATTGATTGTAGCTGCTCAGTGAACCAATTTAAAATGCATAAATCTGATTTCAAATCTCAAGGTGGCCAACAGCTAATGTAATAAGAGCAATGATGGCCTCTGAATGCCAGGTGGACAGGAAGCCAAGAAACATCTTCACACTCATGATAACAGCACTGATGAACCACAAATAGCCATTCAGAATAAAACTTTATAAACCATCCTACATGTAAATAGCAGACAAGTGCTGCACATAAATAAGATCTCATGTCATATAAATAAGCTTTCACGTAAAGTACTCGGTGCTTGCATCTATGCAATGTCATAGGAGAAGCTATTAGTAAACAACAGTTCTTTTAAGAGGAATAGTGCAAACAATATTTTAACTATAAAAGGCCTTTTGTGGAATGCAAAAGTTTTTGGTTGGTCAAATATCTTCAATGCCGATAAAAACTTTTTTTTTTGTAAAAACTGTGAGCTCAATTCTTTAAATGAAAAGTGCTACGTGAATAAAGTTATTAAAGAAAAGAAATGATCTCAAAGAACAAATAAAACAGATAAGGATAACATGAAGCTGCATTTAGTCCAGCTGTGAGTGATGCTCACAACTACTATCACAGAAGATTTCAATGAATGGGTTAAGGATCCTGACGGTCATGATGACGATGCACGGAAATATTGTCGTGACCAGGCAGGAATCCTGACACCGGTGGTGAATAGTGGAGGAAAACACTTTTTTTTAAATGCATGATGAGTTTAACTAATGTGACATGACAGATGTCATGCCTGAAATAAATCCATCGCACTTAACAACAGAATGTGTCGAATTAGTTCTTGCATGTAGATAAACCCCTCTCTCTTTACAGCTACACCTGTGACCAGTCACCTGCATGGACCTTCATTAGATATCTAAGAAGCTTTATTCATATGGATGTGTATGAATACACACATCCACACATAGTGTTGCACGTCCATGACAGGTGCCTATAAGTGGACATACATGGCCAGACTCACCCACCCACTCTCACTCACACACACACACACAAACAAACACACACACACACACAAACACACACACACACACACATGCATATACACAGGAGCTCAGGTGCAGGAGTACAGCCTGATGGCTTTATTAGTAGGCTACAGCAAACAGATGCACCTACAGAAAGCATCACAAGCTGTTTGCCTTTTGGTCTCTAGAACAGCAAGAATACTACAGGCTCCATGTGAAGCGTGATGTCTTACTTGAGCATGGCCTCATCCTTCGCCTCTTCCTCCTTCTGCCGAGCCATCACAGCCATGATAATCTTCCTCTCCTCCTCGGTGAGGTGACTGAGGTCCGGCAGATCGGGCATGGAGTTCTGCTTTGTGGGTGGGCGAGGGCCGCCGCGGGGCCCCACCGAGGCGGACATATTTTACCCCTGTTTGATCGTTGCACAATCCCCGCTATGTAAACCGCTATTCAGGACATAGTCCGATGGCTTATCTGCGGTTGTCGCGAGCGTGGCGAACCGTTCATCGTTGCGGCGGGCACCCACGGTTGTGCTTCTCTTCCTATACGGCTTTTTCTCCTGTCTCTCTCCCCCCCACCCCCCGCCCGCCCGCCTGCCTCTCCCCTCCAGGTCCAGTTAAGGGTAGTCCATATCTGATCCGCGGGATAAGTGCGAGTCGACGAGGGGTGTCTTGCGCCGGTTGATGTAGCCGCCTCGGAGCTCGGGCTCTCAGGCGGGATGATGGGAGCAAAGGCGGAGTCCGCACGGTGCTCTGTTTTTCCGTGCTCGCGCTGCTGCTGCTGATGCTGCCGCTGTCAGGGAGACGGAATAGTCAATGGGACCGCAGCCCCTCAAGCGCGCGCACGCCTCCTCGAGACGGTCGCGCGCACTCTCATTTGAGAATGGAGGCTCGCCGCACGCGCGCGCAGCATCCCATTTTCGCTCTCCAATCACAGCGCGCTGGTGACGCGCATCCACCAGTGGCCGACGCTTTGAGATTCACCGAGCCTGACTCGTGGACGAGACCGAGAACAGCATGTTGTGAAAGTGCAAGTCGAGTAAATTCAGGAGCTAATAATAGAAACGCAGACTTGTTACAGAATAACTCACAAACGACGCTAATAAAGTGATACAACGATCAGACGCTTGATATTATTTAAATTTAGATAGGCTATTTTTAGTTGCTTTATTAAAAATCAATTGTTTATTTTTTAAACCTTTAAAAAAACAACTGTTCAAATTGAAGAATGAAGAATATTTATCACAGAACAAAATAAAACTTAGGATCCAAAAAAAAAAAAAAGCATTGAAAATAGACCAAAAAACTATATTCTCAGGCCACAGGCTTGAGAGAATAAACGGGTCTTCAATCTGAAAGCGTCCAACTCAGATGATCCATTGGCTGCAATCGCAAATAATAAGTAGGCTAATAATGAATATTCAGTCAGTGGAGTGGAAATAAATTATATTTGTATGTGGCTACTACTATAATACCACGCAGTTCATATTAAGACAAAAAACTTTTATTGCTAGGCTTTTTTATTGATTAGCTTCCGTTTACAATTGAAATAACATTAATAAAAAGTACTTACAACTTAAAATTGTTTTTAAAATTACAGAGTTTCTGTTTTATTACTTAATAACAAAAATAATAAAAATGTTTAGCAGGCTATTTTAAAGCACTGTAATTCTCCTGTAATTTCTAAAGATGTGTCTTCTGTTTATATGTTTTCTTGCCTTTGTTTTCCATGCCGCCCAAACCAAATAATGTCCAAATTTAAGAAACTATTAAAATTTTCCTGTTTTAAGTGAAATTGATCAAAATTAAACCAGGCTACTTTATAATAAACTTTTAAAATTCATTAAATAAGACTGCTCTGTTTTAAAGTGTTTTTAAAGAAGGGAATTTACTTTTTATGTCTTACAGAAACCCTGCGGTTTATACACAAGTTGATATACAGTATTACATATTTATAGTTCACTTACCTATTTAAATAGGCTATAAAAATGCAACAAAGAGCATATTTCAAAACAACATGAATGAATTGCAAAATAGGCTAATCCACCTGTATGGACGGTTTGCTAAATGCAATAATTATATGCATAATGAGTAGTGTGCGAAACAGGTTGATCAGTTCATGGCTAGTTTTTAAAATTAATATTTAGTCGAAAATTATTATTCAATATAATATTGTCATCTAAGGGAGTTCTTTTTCAGATTACTCAATATTTTCAGCATGTATTAAAGCCAACGATTGCACGCAGAAGCAAAATAAAGTTTCTCTCAGAGGACTTTTAGTTTGGCGTTGTTTTCAGTGTAGCTATTATGACGTGTCCAAGCTCTCATGTTTTATGTCCTCGTGACGGAGAATCCAGGTTTATTTGCTAGTAACGCTAGAGCGTTTATTTTAGCTGTCTGCGGCTTTATATTTCTGTTAATAATCTGGTGAGCAACCTATGTCAGATACAACTTTATACACATCTGGGCACGTGCATCTGACACAAAAATAACCTATAAAATGATGCATTTTGGTCATTTGTTTATGACAGTTTCTCTTTTCGATGATTTAACTTTACAGTAGATCATTATTTTATGAGTGGATCTCAGTCTGATTACAGCTTGCAAATTATATGGAAATCGCAAAATAATATGCACTGTAAATGAAATTAAAGAATTAAAAATATTAGTTTGCGCTTTCATAAGGCTACCTGCACTCAGGTATTGATGTTAGGTATTCAGGTATTCCTCTTTTATTGGGGTAGGTTAAGTTAGTAATAAAGAGTCTGTTATTTAATGTGTCTGTATGTCTTCGGTCTTAGGCTAAACATGTGTAGCCTTAGGGAGTATATTATATGTGTTTCGATCCAGCAAAACGATACCAACTGTGATTATTTTGATTTAAAGAAGACATTGTGCACCATATAGCTTAAAATACTAATGTCCTATGACTTAACTAATAAATACTCATTTTATATACTAAGTAATTCTCTTGTTTTAAGATAATTGTGTACTAAATTCAAAACTTTGTATAATTTGTAATAAATCAACATCTATTAATATTAATTTTGTAGTAATTAAAATGGAAGAACAAATAAGTAAAGGTTTACTAAAACAGGAAAACAAATAGATAATTAAAATATAGCTAAATTATAATTAAAAAAATGAGTGATAAGTGATTATTTTTCCTACATACTGTATGTACGTGACTCATTAAGAAATTCAAATAGAGGTAAAGTTGGTTTTATATTCGGATATTCAGACATTCTCCTTAATAATATAATTTCAGAAAAGTATTATTTTTAGTATTATTTATAATTCTAAATGGGGAAATTATATAAGATGCAAATGAACATCAAAGAACAACATTGTTCACAGTGAATTAGATATAGTGTTAATGTTGTTTTGATGTCATACTTGCATACTAATTCCGATTAAATATTCAAAGTAACATGGTAAACAATATAGAGACTGCTAAATGAACGAATGCGCGAACATATAGAACCAACTTTATCTCTATGAAATCCAATGCTGCAGCTGTGACACCAGAACTTTGAAGACTAGTATTGATACTGGTACACCCTCAATATATTTCTTTTGATTTTTACAATGGTATTTTTCAAATAATTAGTTCAATTAGATCTCTTATAAACCGACTGCCATTTGATGTTACTTGGACATTTTCTTGTACAATGTAAACTGCACACAATCATACCCTATATATACTAATATGTGGTAATTTATTAAAAGCATACATTTTACTTGTCTGTTTTACTTAAGGATATAATTGAAAATGCAAAAAAAAAAAAAAAAGCATTATATTTGTTTTTTCCATCATCTCTTTACCTTATCGTTATTTTTATTTTTTTCCAGGTACTTTGGTGACAGATATGCTGCCGGTGGTGGTGGTGCATGGAGGTGCTGGTCATATTCCTAAAGAAAGAACTGAAGAATCTACAATTGGAGTGAAAGAGGCAGCCAGGACTGGATATGCCATCCTTCAGAGGGGCGGAAGTGCTGTTGATGCTGTAGTTGAAGCAGTGGCCCTGATGGAAACCAACCCAAGATTCAATGCAGGTACACGTAATTCTCATTTAAATGTAAATGTAAATGTAAATCAATGTAGAGAAATTTAAGGCCTTTAAAAGTATTTAAAAGTCTTAAATGCCATTTTTCAAGGTATTAAATTTTACATCATTTTTGATTATGCAATGTATGGTTGTAGGCTAAAGTTTGCCTAAATAAAATCTGTGAATATCAGGATGCTGTGTAGTTTATGAAATCATTAAATTCCTGCTGGATTTGACATCATGCTGCTTTGTTTACTGCAGTGATCAAGGCAACAGCATTATATCTGCAGTTCTATAGGCACCAACCTTCTAAATGTGCTAGATTTAATAGAATTTTACTTCGTATATGAATAATGTTTTAGCTTTGGATTATTTTCTAAGATTAATTTTTAGTAAATATACAGTAAGTTCAAATCCCGTTAGTGTTTCCAGTTGAAAAGTCGCCTAATCCATATACAGTATGTAAATACTGAGTGAGAGGTATTATATTGTGAGAGTGCATTATTTTTGTCCTCCATCATGTAAATAATGTTAGGCCTAGTATTTTAATGTGACATTGGTGTCACAAGCTTAGCAAATTCTTAATGTTTTTTTTTCTTTTAATATTCCCTACAACACAATAATATTGCTGCAGAAAGGCAAGTTTTGAGTTTTTGCTGTTATTTATAGTCTGCTGAATATTATTATTATTTAATACAAGTTGGCTTTTAATATTTAACAAATGTACTATGAATAATGTTATCTTATTGTAGCCAGTTTAAAAAAAAAACATTTTATAATAATTCATTCTCATAATTCACTCAAAGCATCCACATAGGCATAAGAAAAGGGTGAACATATTATGCATAATAATTAATCTAGGAAAAATATAGATGATCTTTGTTTGTCACAGGTCGAGGGTCAGTGTTAAATATTAAGGGGGAGGTAGAGATGGATGCATTGGTGATGGATGGCAGAACTCTTGACAGCGGGGCTGTTTCTGCCGTAAGAAGAATCGCTAACCCTGTGCAACTAGCCAGGCTTGTAATGGAGAAGGTAAAGTAATGGGTAATGTAATGTGTGGAAAGCTGGATATTTTTTAAAAAAATGTACAAAATATGTTTTCACCATGCTCTGTTGTCAAGTAAACTTAGATAAATCCTTGATCTGCAATTACAAACAAGTATTTTTTTATCGTTATTTTATTTTATTTGTACTGATGTAATCATTCATTCACCAATTTCTGGTCTTTAGAAACATGTACTGTATATTACATTTCAATGTTGGAAACTGTGTATACAACACATACCAGCACATGCATCAATGCATTATATTTATGGCCAAAACATGATTTACAAAAGATCCCATATTTAGCTCCATTTAAAAAGCAATAATACAATAAATTGTTTAAAACATAAACAATAATACAATCTTTAAAAGGGCTGTAGGTGATTGTGTTCAGAAACATGTTTTGTTGTGCTGGTTGAAAGTCTCTTCAGATTCCAATAGTGATGATTAATGTAAATGATCTAAATGTATTTATATGCATTTTTATTCACTCTGGGTATTATTTTATTCATTCTGGGTAAGACATAAAACTAAAAAATGTTCATCCATTTAAATATTGTCGAGCCAACAATTCCCATAATTCCAATAAGTAGACAAACTGTCTGTCAATAAGTGTAGATTTGTACATCTGCACACCCATTCCATTGTATTCACATTGGTTCATTTTTGAACAATGACAACCTGTGACGTGCTCCCTATATTGTTTACCATGCTACTTTGAATATTCGGTCTGAAATAGCATGTAAGTATGGCTTACTAATAAGTTTAATTCCTGTATGCTGCTGGCCAACCAGCATACAGCAGTTGGCTTGGGACAAAGCATGTGAGAGAGTGAGACAGCCATCTTTGCATGCATGCTAATGACAATCTAGTCTAGTGGATTATCGACTGTCATCTTTAAGGTGTGAGTTTGTGTTTTCAGGCTTGGCTTTGGAAAGATATTTTGTTTTCAAAGATATTATGCTAAGCGGTTAGCATTTTGGCATATCACTTACTGCACCTTTAATATCTATTCAACAAATTCAGTTTCATAAAATTTAGCATTGAGAAATAGTTTAAATAAAATCCTCACAGTGTGTATATCCCAAATGTTTTTTTGTTTGTTTGTTTGTTTGTTTTTAATTTGAGACCCTGGACCACAAAACAATGCTTGCAAAAACTTGCCAAAAAAAAAAAAAAAAAAAAAACATTAAATGGGTCAAAATCATTTATTCCAATTATCATTAGAAAAATACATAAAGATCATATTCAATGAAGATATTTGTATATTTTTTTACTATAAATATATATTAATGATTAGCAATACATTATTATTGATCCAAACAATTCAAAGCACTTAATTTAAATCATTTTAATGTGATTATGTAAATTATTTTGTTTAAATTTACATATTAATATATTAAGTTAATGTATTATTTAATTTAAATATTATATATTCACTTAAATTATTGTATTATTTTATTTTAAACTACGATAAAATATTTATTGATTACTTATAAGCATTAATTAGCAATTAATTTAGACAGCTTTTAAACTGATTTTCCTAATGTTTTGATTTTGTTGAAACATCAACTTAAATTAGTTGTTTCTCTGCCAAATTTTGCCCTATGCCAACAAACCATACATTAATGAAAAACATATTTATTCAGCTTTCAGGTAATGTATAACAAGTGTAATGTATTACACTTCTGACTGGTTTTGTGGTACATGTGGTTACATTTTATAATGTATTTATTTATAGTATCTTCAATTTGTGATTTAAACACTACCTCTAAACTACACAAAAGCACCTAATTTTCTAAAACTAAATGATACAAACATTGCGCTTTTTGCTTACATTCAGTGCAATTGTTATATGACAGTATAACCCTCATTTCAAGCAGTCAAATTAGTAATGTGAATAATCAGGTCTGTCCTCTTTTCGCAGACCAAACACTTGTGTCTGACAGCTGAAGGGGCTTCAAAGTTTGCCAGAAGCATGGGTGTACCGGAAGTGCCCGAGGAGTCATTGATCACAGACTATGCCAAGATGCGCTGGAAGAAGAACTTGGAGCCAGATGCCAACCCTGTGGAATGCCAAATGTAAAGCTTTTATGTAATGAAAACTGGTACAAAGTGCTGACATAATGTTTTGGCACAAGATGTCTAATGTCTAGAACTTCTACTGAGATGAAAGAGTTACTACAATAGCTAAAGGCATAGTTCACCTTCACATTCTTTTAAACTTGTTGAACTGTCTTTCATCTGTCGAATGCAAAACGCATAATTCCTATTATGTTCCTAATAGTATACATATTTATAGAGTTCATGCAGGTTGTAAAAAGGCTTTGTTTCAAAATATAAAGCCTTAAAAAGACAAACTAGAGTGTTAAATTGAGGCCATTACAAGTCATGTCATTAAAGGGATAGTTCACTCAAAAATGAAAATTCTGTTATCATTTACTCATCTTTGACATAGATGTCAAAAATTAATTTATGGTAGAAGTCAATGGTTAGTGCTTTCCAACATTCTTCAAAATAACTTATTTTGTAATTATCTGAACAAACCAACTCAAACTGTTTTGGAATACATCAACAGTGAGTAAATGATGGCAGATCTTTAATTTGTGGGTGAAGTATCTCATTTTAAGTATTGCAGGCACTCAAAAAATATCTTTCTAATTCACACGTATGATTGATAATAAAGTGTGTTTGGCATGCTGTCCTGGGAAAGAGCCCTGAGCTCAGAAGATCCTTGAGCCCGGGGCTCCCTCTTGTTTCATCAGTAGAGAGGGGAGTCTGAGCTCAGGTAGGTCTCGAGAGCTTCTCCGAATTTGTTCGCTTGGACTATTCCTTGATTAGTCCCCTATTAGGGGTTGCAACGCAGAATTAAGTGCCAACTATACCAGGACATGGCTAAGTGGTGAATGCCCGATACTTAAACACTTATATACTGTGCCAGGTTGGTTTATACAACTCATTTATACTGCATGTCTTTGGACTGTGGGAGAAAACAGGAGTACCCAGGGGAAACCCACACGAGCATGTAAAGGACATGCAAACTCCACAAAGTAACGCCAACTGGCCCAGCCAGGACTCAAACCAGCAACTTTCTTGCTGTAAGGCAACAGTGCTAACCACTGAGCCACCGTGCCACCCTGTCCTGGATTTTTCCAGAAAAGAAGGGGGAGATGGGGTATTCTTTGAGTTGAAGATGACTAATGCTGAGTTAAGACCACATGATTTTCAAAATAGTCGTGTCACAGATGTTTACACACCGCATGACTATCTGGGCAGGCGTTTTGTCGCTGCTATGTTTACACAGCTAGATGGATCAGCGACAGGGGGTTTCACACTGCATGACTTTACAATAGGAAGAATCGCCAACAACTTTGTCCAAACTACATCTCACAACCAAAAACATGTAGGATATGTTTTGTTATTAACTACGTAATGAGAAAGAAGCCTTTAATGCGGTAGAAAATGTGCATATTTGCTCACCCGGGCTTGAAGGGAATTAGTAATTTCTCCTCAACTTTTTCATTTTTGACCCAGTTGTGATATTGCTCACATGACACATCAAACAGACATGGTTGCTCCTGCCAAATTTCCACTAGTTTTTTCTCCACTACTTTGGTCCAAATTAACTGCAAATGAGCGCTTTTAACTTCTCCCCTAACCTCCCGCTGGCCTGCAGATACCCATACTAGTGGATGCTGCTTTCTCATTGGCTGTAGGTAATCATCAATTTTATGTTCAGTCAAAACTCATTTCACATGGCATGATTTGAAACGCCGACAGCTCCAGATATTGAGCAGGCCAAATATCTCATGGGCATCGGCGACTCATCTGCGATTCTCTCAGATGAGAGAATAATTTGATAATTTATTTTTTGGATTATTATTATTATCATTATTTAAAATACTTTTATTAACAGAGGTGTTTATGTGAGCAAAATAGATTAATATTACATTTAATATTACAGTTATTTATTTATTTTTGTAACTTGAAACGCTCTTTTGCTTTAAAATATCTTTTAATATACAAATATATTTAATTTAAAGCCGTAACTCCAGACTCACATAACTGTTCAGAAGTCATTCTAATCAAAGCTAATATTAATCTAATATTCCACATTATTTTTTTGTGGTGAACTATTGTTTCACTGCCGCAATAAATAATTCATTTTGTTTACGTGTGTGTTTATGAAGCCATTTTCTTCATTTGTGTGTTCCAGGGGAAAGATGGGGACAGTAGGTGCAGTAGCCGTGGACATGGATGGAAACATTGCTTGTGCCACCTCCACTGGAGGAATGATAAATAAAATGGAGGGTCGTGTGGGAGACACACCGTGTGTTGGTAAATCCAAAACTACCACCACAGAGCTCCTGTTTTACACTTTTCACAGCACTTTATTAAAAATGCAGGGTTCCACCCAATTCCTTTCAACACAAATTATTAAATTAACTTAATCTTTTACAAATTTAAGTAGATTGAAGATCAAACAATTAAGTTTCTCTTGTTTCAAATTATTTTAAATACAGAGTTTAATCAAACAGCAAAATTCATTTTGTTTGAATGATTAATCAACCTGCAAATGGCTTAATTTGATCTATTTTAAGCTGATTTAGAAGTGTTTTAATGCTGAAAAAGATTCACTTTACCAGTCAATTTGACTTGAGCAGCAGGGATTGAACTTTGACTTTTGGACATGCAAGAATGTGTGTAATTTTCAGCTGCTCATGAGAGCTTGTTGCCTGCTGGGTTAATATTCAAACCGCAGATCTAATCCTCAGTTTAGCACACAACACTGCATATACATTCTCTTAGGACACATTTTAACCTGTGGGAATCACATACTTACTAGTTAATGATAAAAACGGAGCCCAGAAAAAAAAGGAAAATAGATTTTTGCTGAAACTGTCTGTTTTATTAAGCATGTAAACAACCAAACATTTATTTTATACCCTTATACAGTGAGTATTATTAGAATTTGCTTTAAACAGGTGGAAGTTAATGTGGATCAACAGATTTAGTTTGTTTGTGTGTGTGTGTGTGTGTGTGTGTGTGTGTGTGTGTTTGTTTGTGTGAAGGAAAGATCTCACTCAGGTTGTGTGTTTTTTTCCTCTGGTTTTCAGGATGTGGGGGTTATGCTGATAACAAGATTGGTGCAGTTTCACCCACAGGCCACGGAGAAGCCATCATGAAGGTCACACTGTCTAGACTCGTTCTCTTCCACATGGAGCAAGGCATGTGATATGCTGTATGATCAGCACTACTTAGCACATTTAAACAGAGTAACAGCAAACAAAGCTTCAGGGTCTTTTTCTTATTTTTGCAAACATAATGACCAGCTATTACACAGAGTATGTAGTTTAATTGTGAATATTCTTTTTGTAGCAATTGCAAAACACGTGAAAAGGTCTGGAGTCAGCATTATTTGACTTTTTAAAAAAATATTACCACTACTACTAATAATATATATATATATATATATATATATATATATATATATATATATATATATATATATATATATATTTTGCTACAAATATACTTTGCATATCTATTTATACATTCTACAAAATATTAAGTAGCACACCCGTTTGCAACACTAATAATAAGAAATCTTTTGGAAGGAATCTTTTTGCATATCATCATAATAGAATGATTTCTGGAATCACTGAAGACAGTAGTAGTAATGCTGAAAGTTCAGCTTTGACATCACAAGAAAAAATGACATTATAAAATATTTTCAAATAGAAAAAGTTTTAAATTGTAATGTTGTGCAACAACAATGTTAAAGTTTTAAATGATACTGTTTTTTTGTTTGTTTTCCCCAAATTAAACTGTCCCTCACTGTCTTGTCAGTACATTTCATGTCTGTTGTATTTATATGCTTTTTTTTATACATATAAAAATTTGTAATTGTTGCATTTCAAAACAAGGACATGTTCTGGGTGAAATATCTTGAACCGAAATTCACCCAGATGTAAGAATACCCACTTTCTTTTTATAACAAAATTGTCTAGCTTTTAGCCATGAATATTTATTATATCTTGTTTATTAAATTATTATTTAAATATATGTTTTACATTCAATTATAATGTATATAATTACTATCAGGCAGCACGGAGGCACAGTGGGTTGCGCTGTCGCCTCACAGCAAGAAGGTCGCTGATTCGAGCCCCGACTTGGTCAGTTGGCATTTCCTTGTGAAGTTTGCATATTCTCCCTGTGTTCGCATGGGTTTCCCCCACAAGTCCAAAAACATGCGCTATAGGTGAATTGGGTAAGCTAAATTCTCTATAGTGCATGTGTGTACGTCCTGGTCCTCCAAGTTGGGTGTTGAGCCTTGGGCTAACAACCCACCTCGTAAAAATTTGATGTTACGAAACACCAACATAGTAGTAGTAAAAACCTTGAACACTCTCGAACACTTGATGGATTCTTAATTCAGTCCTCATCTTCAGTCAAAAATTTGAGGGTAATTTTTGATAGCAATCTGTCGTGTGAAGGCCAGATTTCAAGCATTGTAAAACTGCAATTTTCTTATTTTAAAATGTTGCCAAACTTCGACATACGCCATCAATGTCTGATGCGGAAAAGCTTATTCATGCTTTCATGACCTGTCAGTTAGACTATTGTAATGCATTACTAGGTGTTTGCCCTGTTGCCCTTGCTTCCTATTAATTATCATACATTTTTATTGAATTGTGTGATTGCTTGTTACTGTCACCGAATCTATTACATGTGGAGTTTTAATGTAAAAATTAAGAGTTTAATATAAAAATATACAGGCAATGCACTGTAAAACAGTCAAATATATCAAATGAAAAAAGTATATTTTACTCAAATATTACTGAAAACTCATTGGACTTAGTTGAAAGATGTTACATAAACTTATTCAATTAGGCAGAACTCAAATGGATTGTTACAGCAAATTTCAAGTTCCCGTTAAGGTTTGTTGTTAGTTAAAGGAGAGGTAAGAGTGTTATAATTAAATTATTTAACGTGTTTTTGCTAAAAATTTGTACTATGTAAATATTACCTTTTAAACTTAAATGTTTAAGGCAATCGGTTTTCTCAAATGATTTGAGTTCTCTTTACTTAATGGGTCTGAAAGTGTATTGCAAATCAAAAGATAAAGCTATAAATTTACTACTTTTAAAAAGTTTGTTTATGCCTATATTTTCAAACATATAAACATCATGTCATACACTTTCACATACTGTACATAGCATGACATTTTCTTGCTATGCATTTATATGCTTCATATATTTCAGTGTCGTAACCTTTGGCTGATGAGAGAAGTGAATCATGCTGACTCTTACAAGAAATGCATGTCAGTTGCTTTGAATTTTTAAGGCACGTGATTGGAACAAAGAGCTGAAGAGATCCTGGACAAAGACAAGTTAGATTATAAATTATTATGTTAAAATACAACTAGTACCTAGAAAGTGTAACTTGAGCTACAGACTAATAATACATAACTGAGCATAATGGAGAGTGCTTTGATTACGATGGAGTGAAAATGAACCAGTCTTGTTTATTTAGTGATAATGCCATAAATTATATTAAACATTATCTTAATTTAAAGTTAAACTAGCAATATAGCCAATTGAAATGTGTCTTTCTGTGTACTGTGCTTTTGTACACACACATTTGTACAGATTTAGTACTTTAGTGGTATCTACAAATGTCACATTTGGACCATAATTCAATCTGCATCTGATATAGAAGCAACATGTATATTGACTTGGCCTCATGTGGACGGTTCACATGTGCTCATGATTAGCTGTGAGACTGACCCTGTGAATAAATAGCTTGAATTACTGTAGCTACATATTAACTGGAGATCGAGGGCCTCATTAAGATGCTTGACCTCAAGTCTGTTTCGGTAAACATTGCTCACTTCATGGCTCTGAGTCAGTCTTGTACAGTGCAGTTCATAATGCACTTTCAGGGAGCAACCAAGTCAAGATTGACCCACCTGCATATCCTCAAAAGAATAGGCCATTTTGTTAGCCATCTAGTATGTTTTTTAGGTCTTTGTTTTCAGGTGAGGTGATCTGTGTGTGCCCTTTTGCCTTGTGGAAACACACCGTCAAATATTTTTGCTGAACTCATTGATACATGTGTTTATGTGGGCAAAAAAAGTGTTGATGAGAGGTATTTGAGATCCTGTCTTTACAAACTTTAGCATTCAAAGTATTCAACTAACAGGTGCATATTGTGTATGCACAATATATTTTCTCATAAAAAAAATGTGATAATGAGATGTTGCAGTAATGCAATTTCACATAAGGTTACTTTGTTAAATCAACAGAAAGGGCTCTATTTTAACAATCTTAAGTGCAAAGTCTAAAGCACATGGCGCAGAAGCGTTAAAGGCATATCCAAATGCACTTTTGCTAATTTAGATATGGAAAAATACGCTCTGCCCCCTGGCGCATGGTTTAACAGGGTTGCGCTTATTCTCTTAATGAGGTGTGGGTGTGTTTTGAGCAAAACATGCATTAAACCAATCAGAGTCTTATCTCACATTCCCTTTAAGAGTCGTGTTGCGCCATGGCATGTTTGCTATTTACAAGGCGGACTTCGTTAGTGGAACAAGTGAATGCTTCACTTGCGAGAAAACAGTTAAACAGACCATCTGCAGCACAAGGATAAGGAATGAGCCTCCTCCGTTCTGCATCTTTACTTTTCTCTTTACTTTACTCCTTTACTTTTGTGGATAAGGACACAATGTTCTTCGCTCTCCCCTGAAGACACCCATTAGCCATATTTACATATTACATATACATATTACATATTTAATTTATTTTGTTAAGCGCATAAAGATATGTTTTAAAACTATTTCTAAATTCAGTTGTAATTTTCAGCAAACTTATAATAGAACAACAATAACCAAGTGTGGTCAAAAAATATTCAATATATAGTTATATTAAAATACACGTCCTATTCTTATGCCCCATATGCATACATCTTCAAAACCTGACAGGTGGACAAATCTAAACTTTTTTTTTAAACTTGTTTTTATTAAAACAAACATAAATATGTAAATAACAAATAATACTAATAATAACATTATACAAATGTAAATTGTCATGAATAAACTGAAAAATAAATAGCATTAATACGCCTTATTGCACCGTGTGTATGATAGGGCCCGTTAACTTGAAGTGCCGAGATCTTACATTGTGCAAACTGTATGTTTTCTCACAATAATGAGATTTTATGTTCTCTTTGCTCATTTAATATTTTCTGTAATCATACTGCTTCCACTTGTCTTCCTATTCTTTTAATTAGGAACTAAGAAAAAAAAATATTCTGCTTTTGTTGTTAAATAGTAGTCAATAATTAAAGTGGATCAAAAAAGCTTTTCAGAATTGTCCTAAGATAAGAATAGTAAGTGTTAAATCATTTTAGGACAAAACTTGAAAAAGAAGTCAAAGTTTTGAAATTAAAGTTTTTGAAAAAGTTTTGATACATTTCAAATGTTTACGACTATAGTTGTCATCATGGTGCAAACGGGCCATAAAAGGGTATTTCACCCAAAAGCAAAAAAGATTCTTTCATCATTGGTGTTTTTTCTCTTATTGAACAATGAACACAAAAGAAGATATTTCGAAAAATGTTGGAAAAATGGTAACCATTCACTTCCATAGCATTTTTTTATTATTATGGATGTCAATGGTTGCCAGTTTTCAACATTCCTCAGAATATCCTGTTTTGTGTTACAAAATTCCAAGTTTGGAACTACTTGAGTATGAGTAAATAGTGAGTACTACAGTATCCCTTTATGTCTTTCAGTCTTGTAGCTATTTAAAAGAGACACTTTGTAATATGATGTAAACATACTTTGCAATATATATATATATATATATATATATATATATATATATATATATATATATATATATATATATATATATATATATATATATATATATATATATATATATATATATATATATATATATATATATGTGTGTGTATATATATATATATATATATATATATGTGTGTATGTATATATATATATATATATATATATATATATGTATATATAGTAGACTTGAATCAATAAGAAATGTGACTTGAGTAAAGCAGTACTTGTTACAGTTTTAGGAATGGCAAAGTTTGTTTTTTGAGTGAAAACGTTTAATGAAGAATGGCTTGGTTTGAAACGTAGGTTTTCTTGTGCATTTCAAATGTAAAATTAACTGCTGTGATGAGCTCAAAGTTGGTAAAGAGGACTGTGTAAAAAGTAAAGTGGCAAGTGTTGAGAAATGTGACCTAATGATTATAAAAAAAATTTCTTTGTGTTCTAGGGAAGACCCCAGAGGAGGCGAGTGACCTGGCTCTTGCGTACATGAAGGAGCGTGTGGATGGTCTCGGCGGGGTGGTGGTGGTTGATCATAACGGCACATGGGCTGCTCGCTTCAGCAGTTTACAGATGTCATGGGCCGCTGCCCAGCAGGGCAAACTCCATTTTGGCCTGTTCCATGGTGACCACTTTACTGAGCCTGTTGAAGAGCACACATAATGAAACCACAAAAGTATACATTTTGGTATCACTTTATTTTAATGGTTCTTTTTAACACATTTTGTTGATTATATGTTACTCTAATTCTCAAAATTGACATTTACTTGCAAATACTGTTTTTTTTTTTCCAAGTCTGTTGTCAGCAACAATCAGCAACAGCCAATCTTAAGCAGATAGACTACTAATAATCCAATGAGAATGTAACTTATAGTCAATTAAATGTCAAAATAAAGTGATACCTACGTTTTTTTTTCAATCAGTATTGATTATTAAGGGAAAAATGTGTACATGCTAATCAGTGTTATAGATACATAAATACATACATGGCAGGAATTGTATTAATTATATTGTGAAAAAAATGTGTATGTGTAACAGTAAAAGAAGTCTTGCACAAACTGACTGACCATATAAATATAAACCAGGCTTAACACTCCATTTGTTAGCAGTTTTGTCTGTCCTCTGTGGTACTGTTATGCTCTCCACTAGATGGAGACAAATTGTATTCTTTGGAAATCGTTTTAATCTAAGTGCAGTGCACGTTTAATAAATGTATGATTAAAGATGTTTTTTTTTTTTTACATGTTTTGCATTTTATTTTGGATATAGTACTAAAGCATACCCTTGATGAAAGTCTGAGTAATGTCACTAGACTGGTTTTGAAGAACATGACTTGTACTTCATTGTTGAAGAAGTTCAGTGAATCTTTTCCTTCTTAAAACCCCAAAAAGCAGATAATGAATCATCATTAAATGTGTTATATATATATATATATATTTATTTATTTATTTATTTATTTATTTAAATTAAATAAGTACATAGTGTCATTACACCATTTAAAATGACTGGCTGAACTTGTGTTGGACGGTGAAAACAAGCATAAAATCTATTTTGTTGCGGGTTATTTGTGAATTATTTTTAATAGACAGCCCAGATAGCGATAACATCAGTTGGTTGTTTTCATCTACAGTATTGTGACATGACGTGGCCTTAAATCTTAATGCCCTGACCCTCATGACGGTTTAAGTACACAAACTTCTGCTTATTGTGTCAACACAGAAGCCAGCTTGCAGTTCCAACTGTGAATTGTCTTTATAATGATCTAAAAGGCATAAAACCAGTTTTTCTGCCCTCGGCGGTCAGTTTGTGTTCAAAATATTCCACATGGGAGCATGCATAACAGCATCAGATTTTGTCCTCTCAAAGACATAGCCGGGAAGTTATGACCTTTCTGTCCTTTACGTCTAATTTAATGTGCAAGTACATGGATAGTACATCCAAAGTGTATTTTATTAATTTAGTGCAAATAGTGGTAATGTCGTGTTTGGATGGCACAAATAATGTATGGGAGATAAGCATTCACCTTAAGGTCAGTGACCTTTGTGTGGCTTGGTGCAATTTTACTTTAAGATAAACTTGATGCCACATTTTTTTTTTTTAAACCAAGTTGCAGAGATCCTCTTTCTGTGTTTTTTCAGAAAATATTTTTGCTCATTTTCTATTGCATATTGTTTGAAATATCGAGATTAATTGTAAAACTATTAAGAAATTTGGATAGTTTATATCTACTTGCACAGTATTAATTTTGCATAATATTTAGGCACAACATATGTATATCTTATACTTGAATGCCTTTAGCAGATGCTTTTATTTAAACTGAATTAACAATAGAGGAACATTAGCAACTTGTCACGGAGCCAACAATATTCATAGTGAACAATGCAGGGTTATTAGAAAGCTATTAAACTGGCTGGGATTTTCAAAGTGTGACCCAGGGACCCTTATAGGGGACCACAGGGAAGTTCAAGAGGGTCTGTAGAAATGTTAGGAGAAAAAGCATTAAACAAAACTGGAAAAAAAATGTGGAAAATGGTCTTTGCTTGATGATCATCTGAATAAGATAAACATTTGACTGAAACATTTTATTAAGATAAACATGTTTAAACAAACATACATACATTTAGATAATTCAATAAGTGCAATATAATTCAAAAAGAGTGTTTACATGACATGTAGAAACAAAAAACAGAGATATGATTTTTCCAGATTTTTATTTGTCTGGGCAAGTTTTAAATGGTAGTAAAACCGTTTAGTATTTAGGGCATGTTATTACTGAATATATGAGTGATGATAATGATATGTGTCATTGTGTCGACGTTCATATGTGAACGTCGAAAGGCATATACTCAAGCAAATATGCTGGTTAAAAAAAAATTCTATTTGTGTTCAGAGCAGGTTAAGTTAAACTTCTTTAGAACCTATTGCATCTACAGCTCCACTGTGGTGTAACTTTTAAAAAGAGAGTCTCTATAAGCTGCAGGTTCCATACAAAGATTTTATAAGGATTCTTCTTATAAAACAGATGGTGTAGTGCAAGTGATTTATTTTGTAAGGTAAGAGGTTGATCATTTTTTGCTTTGATGGGAAATTTGATCTATAGGTTTATCTGTTGACTGGAGAATTCTCAGAACAGTATTTTAATGTTGTTGATAAACCCTAGGCTTATTGAGGTGTGTAATCAGTCACCTTTGATGAAATATTGGCATAACTTATTGTGTGGTTTGTATTGTCTTGTCTGTCTTGTACTATTATACCTAGTGTCTGGAACAAAGAAATATATAATAAACAAAAACATTTTTATAATAAATTATTTTTATTAATTTGATTCAAGTAAATAAATTAAATTTTAATAAATGAATAGTACTAAATTGATAAATTTAAAACAAATCAATTATTTAAAATAAATAGGTAATAAATACATGTTTAAATATATCAATAAATACAGTAGCCTACTATAATGGGCAGGAAACGATTGAAGAATATGAAATAATTAAAGCTAAACTGTTTTAAAAAAATCACATGACACAGTATAAATTGGTGCTTTACAATAAAATCTAAGGTTGTCTTTTACACAAAATTTAAATGAACTCATGTGAATCTTCTTATTTGCGTTAAAAGTAAAAGAAAAAAACAACACTATGAGAACTGAAGAGCACGGTGACAGCGGTCAAGGGGTCATTTGGTGAATGTAAAAGCTGGCACCATCATGGATGCGAGCGCTTCGCCTGCTGATTGGTCAACATACGACATCGATGACACAAAAGTGGGCGGGCCGAAGCTCAGGAATCCACATAGAAAAAGTCAGGAGTGACAGATTGGCTGGAGTGGGTGACAGAAGTGCGGTCGGTCGAAGAAGTCAAGCAACCCCATTCTTAGTTGCCATCTAACAAAGTTGTTTTATAGACTTCACACGCCGTGTCTACGCGTGCAAAAGAGCCAGGAGACGCAAGGCTACAAAACTTCAACAAAAACCATCAGAAAATTAGTTGATTATAACGGTCGCTATCTATCTCTGTCTCGTCGCGTGCGATAATTACGTAATTACACACTTGTGGCGATTCCCAACCGCATTTACAAGTACTTTAGGCTCGACTGCTTTGATTAAGAACTTTAAATCACGTGTAAGCAAGGCTTAGTGAAGTTGAAGACATGACAGAATCAGTGAGAATACGAAGATCACGGCGACGATCAGCCTTTATGGACATTTATACATTTTTGCATAAAGCATCTGTACTGTCAGCGCTGGAGGAAAAGTCACGAGCATCTGAGAAGAAACTTGTTCGTATTTTTCAGGATCCTCTACTGAAATGCGGATGTTCTGAGTGTGGTGAGTGGTTAATATGTTGCAGTAAATGTCTGTACTGTAAATGTATTGAGCAGCCTATAGTAGAGGAAGCTTAGGCTGTGACCAGGAAATGTCTTCGTTATGAAAAAAAAAGGTTTTAAATGTAATGTAAAACAGTGCACATTTAGCTGGATATATTTAAGAATATGACGAGTTAAATATGAAAAGCACAAATCCGCAAGTATTAAAACTGACAGGTTGTTTGAAAGTGTTTCAATAATTAAGATTCACCACTAAAGAGTGGCCTAACTTAACTACAAAAATACTAATTGAACAGTTCGTAGCCTACTGTATGTTCTCCACCAATCAAGTTGTAATTCACAAATACAGTAAAAAATGGACTGGATTCCGTGTGGAGCGGAACTGACATTTCACTTGTCTGCTAAAGCGCTCTGTAAGGAACTGAACAGAAATCCAGTTCATGTCTTAATTTTTTTGCTCGACAGTGCGAAAAAAACGCTTAGAATTGTCTACTGAATTTAGCATGTTGTGAAACTACAGTACGAACTGAATCTACTGTATGTGCTTCTGTCCCTCAACACCTCACTGTTACTTCTGTCAAAAATAAAAGTTTACATTGCAAAAAAGGATTAGCACTTTACTTAAAAAAGTAAGTAGTAAACCCGTTTCAACTTAGACATTTTAAGTTGACCTAACTTAATTATATATTTTTTTTTTAAATATTCATATTAGGGCTGCACTATATATTGTTTTAACATCGATATCACAATGTGATCATTCACAATAGTCACATCACTAGTATACACAATGTTGAGTCTGGATTATATTTGACCATTTTGCAAGTGTTTTTGAGGCCTGTGACTGTAGGGGTTTTAAAAGCATAGGCAAATCTTTCTTAAAATTAGTTAAAAAAAATAAACCAGTGTCATTGTTATAGTTGTTTTTGTATAGAATTACATATTTTCATAGAAATTGAATATCTAATAAAATATATCTACATTTATCTTTTACCTTTGTTTGTGTAAATCAATTGCAAGTATTTGTAAGTCAGCAGTTTGTTCTCATCTCATTTGTCACATCTGTTCCACAGTACATTACTTTCAGTTATTTTTTTTATGCATCACTGAAAGAGTCAATCAAATGTAACCTCAGCAGTTCAGTTCAGAAAGTCTGTACATTTTTGATGCTTAATTTGTTGTCATTGTAGATTGTTGGTTTTGGCATGATCAAGTGGAGGGCAGTGTAATTCATTAGATGCTTTTACATTAGGATTATTTTTTCAATCTTCATTACATGTTTACTTTTATTCAGTGATGCAAAACAGCTAGAGCGCCATTTTCAGGGTGGCATAACTCCATGTTGACCTCTGAGGTTTAGAGTTTTCTGTTAATCAGTGTTCTGGTGACACAGATGACTTGTTCTCTTGCTGTGGGTTTCGTGCCTGGAATCAGGGGGCTGTGTTTAACTGCCCATTCAGTGCAAAGGAGTGTGACCTCTAGCAAGGTCAGAGAGGGCTTCACTCATCTGATTCGGCTTTGGGCGCTTTTGGGTTCCTGGAAAAGAAATATAAAGGAAAGAGAACGTTAAAGCAATGCAAGTTAATGGAAAGAAGTGATTCTGTGTGAAAGAAGAGGTTAAAATAATCAATAATGTGCTTTCTCACAATATCAAGTGCATGTTAGTAGAATAGATAGATGACAGTTGTGTTTTGGAAACAGACAAAAAGGAAGATCAACAGGTAAATGTAGATAAAAAAAAAATACCCTGATTTATACTTATCATGCTCTAAGGGTTTTGAAACATCAAAATAATGAAAGTGTAATACAGTGTTTATTAGAATGTGAAGAATGAACAAATATATAAATTTCTACCATAATTTACAGGTTTTACCCAATAAATTTAATTCTGTAAATATAT